GGATACCTGTGTAGAGAAGGTGATTTGGAAACTGATAAATGCTTCCGTAGCTCTGTCTTTCTTGCACAGACCTTACTGATGTCTCAGGACCTAACCAACATCAGGTTAGGGTTGATCCGTCTGGCTGGGACCTTTTACCCAGCTCAAACTTCAGCTTCTCTTTGGGGGGGCAAAGATACTTATTACAGTAGCCAAGAGTTGTTAAGAGGCGCAGGAGGTGTTTGCCTGGACCTGGCAGCTGGGGTGGGTTGGGAAGATCTGGATGGCTGGGAGCTGGACCCTCCCTGAGCCTGCTCGGCAGGTAATGAAGGAGGGGAGCAGGAAGCAAGCAAGATCTCAGGCGGGATGTAATTGGCCATGCTAATCTTTGGGTTCGGGGTTTCTTGCTTTGCTACTTCTTCCTAGCACAGCTCGCCCCCTTCTCCGCTGAGCGTTGCTTTGAAGAGGTCTGTAACTGTCTCTGGAACCTGTGCAGGCACTACCTTGGCCTCTGAGGGGGCAGATGATGCAGATCTGAGCTGAAAAGTTGCCTGGGGATAGAGAAGAGATTTGATCAGCACTAGTCTGCAGCGGATGCTGGACTATATAATTTGGACCTTTCCCTGCCTGTGCTGTTTGCACTGGGAGGATTGCCATTGTAGCCAGAGGAGCAGAACTGAATCGTCCCTGCCGGGTGGCAGGTCAGGTTAGGAGGAGAGATCCCTGGAGATCCTGCTGCCCGCCAGCATTTCCCTTCCCCGTTCTCCTGGGTAGCCAGCACAGCTCTGCAGCTTTCAAGCTGTTGTGACCAAGATCTGGTCAGATCTCTGCCTCTTGAGTCCCCACATGACCTTGTAGAGGTCATTTTCTTTTTTTTTTTTTTTTTTTCTGACATCCAAGCCTTGTCTGCAAAAGAGGAAGGGTGATTTAGTTACAACTTCATGGGTCGAAAGCCAGAACAAATGGGCTAGTGCCTTCCTGTGACAGTGTGGATGAGCCCCTGTCCCGCTGGGAGCAGCCAAGGAGCAGGCTGTCTTTTATGCTTGTACCTGTGCATGCCGAGGAGCAGCCCTCACTTCCCACACCGCCCCGGTGGTACCAGTCACTGCTTTGTGACTGGCAGGTGACACAAAGCACCCGGAGGTCCTGTGTCCCCCAGTTTGGAGAGCAGAAGGGTAGCTGGGGGGTAGGCGGTGGGGTGCAGGCAGCTGGTTCTCGATGGCACTGCCGGCGGCCGTGCTGCCCCTCTCGGCAGTTAGGGCTGCGGGTTGCTGTAATCACGAGTCAGCGTTGCTCTTGCGTCAGGCTCATGAGCTGCTCTTCAGCTGCTGCCTCTCAGGCCCTGCTGGGAAGAAGCAGCATCCATGGTGGAGGAGGGGGCCTGGGGGCAGGCAGTGGGTGGTGGAGGTCCCTTCCCAGCTGTATCTCCTGGACAGGGAGAAGGCAGCCTTCCTGTGAGGGGGGTTGGATTGGACACTGGAGTGTGGCTGGTGGAGGAACCCAGTCAGCAGCACGTTTCTGCAGTGAGCGGGGGGAGCAGCAGAGGGGAGATGTGGGCTTGTAAATGGGGTAGCCTTTCTGGACCTGTCCCAGATACCTGAATAGCAGTGATGGCCAAATAGCCTCTGGGGAGGGGATATGTGTGTGGATACATCAGCTTTTCTCTTCAAATGGCCCATTTTAGCATATGGTTTCTTCCTGCATTTAAAAATACCATCAGGCAAAAATTGGGATTCTGTATCCACCCCCCAGCACCACCTCAAATAAGAACTGCCCTCGATTTGGTTATGTCTCCTGGGCTTTTTGTGCAGCATCTCTGGGTATTGCTGCTCAGAGCGAGCACCCCTGTACCACGCCTGCCCCCTCGCGTGAGGGTCCCGAAGGGGATGCTCTGTGCCTGTTGACGTCCTGCCGGCCACAGCGCACCCCCCGACCTCCTGCGCGCTCCTTCCTCCGCCCGCCTTTGCTGGTAGCTGAGATTCGTGAAATGTGGTTTCACTGAGATGTTGTAGGCTGTATGGATAATGTGCAGAGCTGAGGAGGAGGGTAGAGGGCTTGGGAAATACCGGGATCCACAGAGACTGGAGCTCTGGTGAGGTGATCGCTGGTTCCTGCGTCCCTCTCTTTAGACACCACGTCTTCCTGGTTTTGGGCTCATGCTGAGACAAACTATCTGCATGGAAGAAGGGGAAGGAGATGTGAGACCACAGGGCTCAAATTTCATGGGTCTTCCTTGCTTACATCCTGGTATTGTTACTTGTTGCTCCTTTCCACCTGGCTGCCCCTGGGCCCAGCAGAGGCTGCGTGTGGCTTGGGGTGTAGCGTGGGCAGGGGCCGAGCTGCGGGCTCCTGCCTGGGGGAGCGCCTGCTGCTGGGATGGGGAAGAGCTGCTGCAGGGCATCGGCCGTTAGCGTAGGGCCTGTGTCAGGGTACCCAGCATCGGGGTGCCTTGGAGGGAAAGCCGGTGACCCTTGGGAGCGCTGAGAAGGGAGCCGACCTGGGACAGGCAGCCTCAGTGTGCTAGATGGGCTGCAAGCTCTGGGGAGGTTTAGCTTTGCCTTGCTGGCCACGCGCATTTCTGCTTCCTTCCTCCCTCACGATGCCTTTCTTGGGGAAAAAAAGTGCTGCCTGATTTAGACCTCTCTTGAGCACCTCAGGTGCTGCCCTTAATTGGCAGGCTAATTTCTAATCTAGTTGCTTGTGCTTGCAAGGGAAGAAGGTGTCCCAAAGGGTCGTTGTGCCTGGCAAGCCCTGCCCTGTGTGTCCTCCCAGCAACCCTGTTTTCAGAGGAGCAAGTCCTGCGGACGAATGGCCCTGTGCTTGTTCTCGGCAGTGGGGAAAGCTGCTTGCAAGCCCAGCGCTCTGGGTCTCTGCTCTGGAGAGCTTGGAGCCAAATCTGCATTAATCGTAGGTGTGAGGAGTTGGACAAGCTCAGCCTCCCAGGCAAGAGGGCTGAGGACTGGAGGCGAGTGTCTTTCCCCAGCAGGATCCGCACTGGCAGACCTCGCCAGGTGAACATGAGCACTCTCTGCCCCTGGTCATTGTGTGTGCTCCTTGGTTCCTGCTCACCTAAGCAATGGAGGAGCTTCCATGGCTTTTCGAGCAAATGTGGTGGCAGAGCTGCTATCGAGTGGTTGTGGCTGCCAGAAAGGGGTAGCCTGGACCTCTTCCGGGTGTCTGGTTGCACAGATGGCTGGCCCGGCTGTGGCGTGCATATGGTGAAGAGTTGGTTGGGCAGCCTAGAGCCTAGCAGGAGTGCAAACCAGAGAACTGCACCTGGCAGAGGTGTAGCAAGGGGAATGGCTGCCAAGGCCTGTAGATCTTGGCTGGCACAATGGAATTCCTTTTTTCAGCCATTGTGGTAGTAGTATCATTTGTTAAATTTGGGGGTTTTTGCTAATAGCTGCTACAGCTGGCTGATCCAAAGAGGTAGGATATCCATTAACCAGCGCTTCTACCTTGTTCCTCTCTGGAGAAGCTGCCTGGGGGTTGCCTAAGTAGGAAAATGCAGAAATTGCCTCTTGGCACCTGTTAGATCAAGTACAGGGTGTTTCTGCTCACTGTTGTGGGAGCCTGACCTGGTCTGCAACCACTGCAGAAACACAAGCGGTGTAGATCTGCCTGGGTGGTGTGCTGGTGGAGGGTTGCAGTAGAACATGCAGCTTGCAAAGGATCCAGACCTGTGCTTGGAGGCTTTTCTGGATGTGTTGGCTTTTCCCGGAGATCATGCCTTTGGTGTGGGCACAGACCATAACCCTGAGTAATGACAGGGAGTTTTGACACACACACTTGGTTCTGCAGCTCCTACGTGGGATGAAAGCATCCCTGCCTGAGGACACCTCGAATGTGGTACACTGTTAAAGGCAGATAAACAGGAGCTGTTTGGTAGAGGCGTGTTTTTGCTGTTTCTGCATTGGTTGAGCTGAGACCAGAGGGCATTGCCCTGTCCAAGGGGTAGTCCTTGCCTCAACTCTTGTGACTTTCCAGCTGTATGTGTGTTTTGGGCAGCTGATAAGCAGGAGCCAGGGGCCTGCCCCTGTCCTAGGAGGACCTTGCCTTGCTGCCAGCCTCCTTCCCCCCTCCTCTTACAAGTTCCTTGAAGAAAACATAGTGTATTGCTCTCAAAAGTGCTGTTTTCATGGTTTCTGGGGGACCCTTTACCAACAGGCTTTCTCCACATACGCTGTTTTGTGTCCTTCTCAAAAGAACGAGTCTTTAATCTTATCCTTTCTGGCTACTTCAGTAAACATCTTCCCAGCAATAAATAGGGTCGGTCAGGAGAAGGACCTGCACCTCTGACTGGAAGGAGCTTGCGGGGGTGAGACGGTCGAGTCGCCTGTTTGGGGATCTGACCGCCGTAGACTCCAGCAGCTCTGCGCGCTGGGCTGCGTGCTGGCTGGCACCGCAGACGGGACGGCCAAGGCCTTCCCCTGGGGCGATGGGTGATGTGCCAAGGCACCGGGCACCGTTGGGGTGATGGGTGCGTGCTTCTGGCTGCGTGTTCGCTGGTACAGGGCTGTGTTGGAGCCAGGCACAGCTGTTGATGTCCCTTGTGGCTACAAAACCCAAGAACCACCAGGAAAAGGCTTATTTTGCTTTTGCTTTGGCTGCGACCTGTGCTCCCTGCCGGTGCCGTGTTAGATGCTCTCTGTGCAGGCTTCTGTTTGATAATGCTGGCGGGGGCGGGGGGAGTGTGGGGTGCCACCAACTAGCTCATTGTGTGCATCTTTGGGCATCTCGGTGAGCTTTTAATTCCTCACTGCTGTCTGTTAGAAGCCAATATAGACGGTTATTTATGAGAGCAGTACATTCAGGTAAACACCGATGCCTTCAAAATCTTTCTCGTAACAAGTTGTTGAATTGAGGTGGGTTCCAAGCTGGATTGATGTTTAACTTGGGATACTAAGAAAATACTTCCTCTGTTTAGCTAAAGCAAACAAATCAGGAGAGGAGGGACCTTTTAAATATGATTTGCACTCCAGCTGCAACCAATACTGATTTTTTTTTTTTTTCTTTTACAGATATATTTCCAACTGATGGCCAGTCTGGTATGTATTAATTAAAAATGGAATTCTTCAAACCTCGCTCTCCCAAATCTTCCCTGCACTTCTCTTTCTGCAGAGTCAGCGCTAACCAGATTTAGAAGACTGGTACAGCAATATGCAACAGACATGAATTAACAAAACAGCAGCAAAAAAAATCCAGCAGCAACCAAACAAAAAACCTCTCACCCAAATCCCCCCAAAACCTCAAAAAATCTCAAACAAAAAAAGCTCCTCTAAATATTTGACCGTTTCTGCGGGGCAGTGATATGTTGTATGCTTTCCTGTGGTGATGACTACAACTGCTGGAAGGTTACTTTCCTCCCATACGTGGTAGCATGGCAAATTTGGGTGTCCAGGGTGAAAGAGCTTGGGAACTTTTAGGTCTGATCCATCACACGTAACTGAGAACATTGGCGTGTGCAGATGCAAATGTAACTCAGAATTGCTGCTGTTAGTCTGTGTCTGCTGTTAAAGAGTTGATGTGTCCATGCACCTGAAGTTGTGTATTTGAATGTGCAGTACTTTGAAGAGACACAGACTTCCCCCTTGGCTTGTTCAGTCTGTGAGTTGCTGCTGAGTTTCGTTGTTAATGACAACTGCGATATGTACTATGCGGCCATCGGTGCCAGACCGGTGAAAAATTCCTGGCCCCGGTAGTGCATGCAGCCTCGCTAGGAAGGACCCTGCGGAAATGGATTGGTGTCCTAGGGAGGGAGTGGAGGCTGCTGTGGATGGAGGTCTCAGATTAGGAAGGGGATGTAGTTTTTAAACACAGGTTTCAATGATCTCGATTCTTGCCTTTTCCAAACTGCTGTGAGCTCTTCATCCAGGTTGATGTTGAAGTGCCAAGGCTGAAGGAAAGGTTCATGTTTTACCCAGTGGTATCAAGACCAGTCACTATGCTGCACTTGTCTCAGAGCTGTAGTGTGTCTGTGTGTGTGTTTCCAGGGCACTAACGAGGCCATGGTACATAGCTGGATCCACTGGACCACTGCAGAAGGTGCCTCCATAGATGTTGGAGAAGTAACCCAAGTAGTAAGCTAACCCATTTTTAAGTCTCATGGTATTTTTGCTTCCAGAACGTGTCTGAGAGTGAAATATTAAGACTGGTTTTGAAGCAGCAAAAGTATATTCTCATGTGTTGGTTCAGAAGAGGCTTTTCTCCACCCTGCTGAAGACCTGCCTTCCACTGGGTGTTGGTTGTTGTCTGCATGTCCTGCAGACTCAGAGATGTCCCTGGGTTGGCACAACTCCATCCTCTGCTCTCCAGCTGGTGGGGGGACCTTGGGGGCTGTCTCCAGGGTGGGGCAGGAGTGTGTGTCTGCAGCAGGTGATAGCATTTCAGTGTAAGTGCATGTTACATGTCAATGGTGTTGCAGAAAATGTTATCTACAGAGCTTGTGGGGTTTTTTTACAATTCTTTATTTTTAAGGAGATAAGTGAAAGCTGAAACAGGAATCCTCGTAGTGGTAGCTGCACAGGACACATGTTTTTCCTCATGCCTTCTCCAGGAAAGTCTTAAAGCTCGTGTTGTGCTTTCTCTTCCCATGCAGAAAGCTTACCTGGAAGCCCTGATACTGCAAAGCACGGTGAGGGGTGAGTGCAGCAGGTGAAGGCAGGGTCGTGCTGCTGGCCGGGGCAGCCAGCTTGCCCGGAGCATCATTGTGTGCTGAGGCTGGTGGGTTTGACCCTCTCACCTCCCTTGCCTTGCTGTGGTTGTTTAACAAGGTCATTTACTCAAGTATGTTACTGCACATCACCGGGACTCCTGTATCTGTTGGTGCCTGTATTTTTAAGGTTAATCTTGTAAGGCCAGGTGGGTCTGTGTGGCTGGTTTCTCCTCTTGGTGAGAACCCTGTTGTTCTTCCACCCAAGGAAGCTGTTAGCATAGTGATGCAGGATGCTGACTTGCACTAGCAGAGTTGAGACTTGTATAGATGGAGAGCCTGAGCCAAAAATCAGCCATTTTGTAGGCACAGTAGCTGTGCCCCAAAGCATGTTCCCACTTGTTAGCGTGTGGATGCTGGAGGCGTTCTGCCCTCAGCTGGTGTCACGTGCAAGCACTATGGAGGTGGAAGAGCAGCAGTGTTTGCACCCCGCTTACCTAACAGGCTTTGGAAATAACGCTGTTCTCGGAGAGAGGCGCCTGACTTTCCTTCTGACGAGCACAGCGATTCCCTGGTCCTCTCCTCTCCCACATCCAGCGACTAGGATTTGGAAGCTGTAGGGTGCTTTCTGGAAGAAGCCACTTAACCTTGTGATCTGGAGTTCGGGTGGAAAGCTGAGAGACTCCAACACCCTTGAGGGATGTGGTGCTGGGATTGGCAGTGTGGTGGCAGAGGGGCAGATCCTGGTCCTCCCCACCTCTGCTGCTGGAGGAAGGATGCTAGGGCAAGTCTCCACCCAGACCTCTGTGGGTGTGTTGGCCCTGGGCACCTGACCCCTCTGCGAGGCTGCCAGTGCTGTCCGTGTCCCAGGAGTTATAAATGCCACTTTGGATTGGATGCTATCACAAAGAGATGTGGGTGATGTTCCTGCTGCAAGGACACAGGTTTTAATCTGTTGGAAAGAAAAGGAAGGGAGATGGGTCTTTAAATTAGGAAAGAAAAGGCTGTGTTGCACTCTTATAGCTGGCTGTTCCCAATTCCTTTAGGAAGGCTCACCCGGATTCTGGTGTTTTCCTCTCTTGTGGTGTGTATGAGGCAGGGGAAGCAGCCACCTGTAGCACTGGAATTACCTGGATTGGAGAGGTGTTTATGCAACAGGATCCACATCATTGTGTGCCCAGGAAGGAAGTTGGTGGCATTTGTTATATCAAAGTTATTTTAAAATAAAATCTTGAATCTCACTGCCATTGGCTTAAGGTGAGGGGCGTAAGTGAGGATGTTGTATCTTGAGTTTGGAGAGCACGCCCTGCAACCAGCTCGGCTGGGGCACAGTGATCCTTAACTAGCAAAAAAGGAGCCTTTCTGCCTGCTCGCACAGGCTCCAGGGATATTTGGCTGCCTTGTTGGTGTTACGGGTTTAATGCTCTGGATTCACCAACGGGAGGAAGCCCCCGTACCTGTGCTGAGTTTAATGCAGGTGGTTATGGGACTATAGGATTTCTTGAGCTCCTTTCTGGATACACCCTGCTTAGTGGGTGACCTAGGTTTGGCCTCCCTGGATTCCTGGGAGTCTTTGTTGCACCTGGTCCCACCAGCAAATCCCTACTGTTTTCCTTCCACCCCTGGAGACGGGGCTGGATTTCTGCCTGCTGGTGGCTTTGTCTTCCTTGGCCTTTCTGCTGCTCCGTTCCTTTGGTTACACGCGGTCCGGGAGGAGGGTTTGTGGGTGACCTGGTGCAGGTTTCGAGCATGAGGTCTGGTGGTCACTGTGCAAATGGCTGTTGCACAGGGGGCATGCTGTGGGCCTGCAGAGATCCCTCTGCAGAGGTAGCCGAAGTCTGGTACGGGAATCACGGCGGAGAGGAACCAAGAATTAGGTGACTTTAATTACTTCACAGTCTCCTTTCTAGAAACCCAGTCTGGCTCTCGTCTTTGAGATGACAGGTTTTCCAGAGGCATGTTTTGTGCAGTCTGCACCTTTGCCTTGTACGACCCCTCGCCCCTCTGACAGCGTAGGCAGGAGGAGCCGCACAGACCCCTGCTAGACAGTGTGAATGCTTGCAGGGTCTCATGGCAGGCGCTTGACTCTCAATTCCTGTCTGTTGGCTGTTAAATATTTATAGTGAGACGTACCAGATGCTTCCCAGGAAGGGTTTTGTCAGCTTCCAGCTCCTCAGATACAGCTGCAGAAGAGGCTGCCGGCCATTAAAGGGATCACGCCTTGGGTTCAGCACCGCCGCGGTGACCTCTCCTCGCTCGTGCTGTGCGCGCTGCCGGTTGTGCTGTGTCATCGGCCGCAGTGGGATGCAGGCGAAGAGCACCCCTCTGCTGATGACAAGAGATTAATGATGTCTGGTCCTCGGGCTTTTTTTTTCTTCTCCTTTGAAGCTCCACTGCAGTAGGAGGGGGGAGAGAGTGATGCTCTTGGCTTTTGTTACTGCACGCCTTTTTTCTGGGACCTTCTCTCCGCAGCAGTGGCACATACGTGTGACCGCTGCATGGCTGCCTGTGCTCCCTCTTCGTTCTCAGCACGGCTGTGTCTGTCTCGTTTGCCAGCAGACCTGTGGAGAGAGGGGTGGGCTGATTCAGGTGAGGCAGACTTCCCCATCACTAGCCCTGGGCATGCAGAGGCCAGCAGGCAGAGTATCGCTGCTGAATGCCACCCCTGTGCTGGTCAGATTCCCAGTGTACCTCGTGTTCAAGATAAGATCCAGGACCTTGGGCTGGGCCCTGTTTGTTGCTCTTGGTGCTTATCAGCTTTTGCCACTGACAAGGTGACTTGCTGTGCAGCGCTGGGGATGGGGAGGGAAGGTCCCTCCAGCCCGGGTTACACGGCGGTCTGGCCCCCCCGGTAGCCTCTGCTTGCACACCGGGCTCGCGCCCGTGCTGCTTGTCCCCATCTTGGTGTTACAACTCCAGGCTGGGTGAGGGATTTGTGGAGGTGGGATATCGGGAGGTGGCAGGTTGGCCCCTCCAAGGAGGGGGGGAGCCAGGGAGGAGCAGGCTCGCTAGGTCATCGTTTTTCCAACTAAATATAGTTGCCCGTGCTTTCATAAGGCTGGGATTTTTGCATCACGTGACTGTCTTATCCCTCCTGACCGGCAGTTGGTCAGAGTAGGGGATCGTGTGTCTGAATGGGTAATAATTAACTGTTAACTAGCTTTTCATTAGAGCCTGGCAGAACAGGCAGAGCAGTGCAGCGGAGGTAAGCAGGAGGGGAGGAAACTGCTCCTGGTCCCTCCTGGAGGGTGGACACCCCCCTTTAATTTGCAAATCAGTTGCCCCCAAAGGTGAGTGCATTGGGGTTTGTTTCGCTCTGTTTTATAAGGAGTTCCGAGTCCTGCCATGCCTTGTGTGTTTGTCCTTGCTGTCCTGTAGTTCCTGCTCATGTCACCC